TCTAGTATTATTATTATGATGATGATGATGATGATGATGATGATGATGATGATGATTATTATTATTATTATTATTATTATTATTATTATTATTATTATTATTATTATTATTATTATTTAGAATCGCAATACTAGAATAGATCATGAAGCCTAGCTCCTATCCAGGGGTGGGGGCGTGTGTGGGATTCGAACTCCCCATTCGAACTCCCCACCTCTGCGCCTAAACCCAGCAGTTCTCAAGCAGTTCGTGCGATCCCCATTTTCCCTCTTTCTTCCCTTCGGGATCTGGCCGACTCGGCCGGACCAAAGCCGTAGATGCCGCCGCCGCCGCCGCCGCCGGGGGAGACGCGTTAACGGGAGAGGGCGCTCGTTACTTCTCCGCGCCCGGCCCGACCTTCCGAATTACTTCCTGAATTCCTCCGGGCTCCCTCGCGCCTCCTTGAACATGGCAGCCGCTGCAGCTTCCTCCCGGCGGATGATGAGGCTTCCTCGGGGGGCTTCCCTGATCCTGGGGCGGCCCTTCCCTTCTTCTCCTGCTTTTTCTTCTGCTTGGAAAGAGGGAGGTAAGGGGAAGGAAGGAAGGAAGGAAGGAAGGAAGGAAGGAAGGAAGGAAGGAAGGAATCAGGCGGGTTGGCGGAGTGGAGACAGGATGGCATGAACCCCCCAAAATTAAAAAAAATAAAATTAAAAAAACAACAACAACACGTCGCGACGAAGAGACCGGTGACACCCGCAAAGCTGGCGGCGTTTGGTTGTTTTGCCACGCCCGCTGTTGAACGGGGTTTGATTGCATCCCCCCTCAGAGATGTAATCAACAAAAGTAACTTATAGATGGGCGGGGTATAAATCAAATCAAATAAAAATTAAATAAAATAAATAGGTTCTGCTCCCTACCCCAGTGCAATTTTTTTAAAGTGTTGTTCTTGTTGCGCCTGGTGCCGATTGAGGGATCTGTGGATCCCGGTGGAAAAAGGAACAAGTTGGTCACCCACAGCTAAAATCTGTAGTCGTTTCAACAAGATACAGATACTTTCCTCGGATGATTTACAATAAATAGCCAGAGCATTTCTGTATCCCTGGTGTTTAATTGAAATTCCAATGAATGGCAACCGTTTTTCAGGGTTTCCCAGGTAGGGAGAGAACCCTCAGAAGTGCTTTCCCTTTCCCTTCCACTAGGGGCGCTGTGGGACTGTGCAGCTTGCCCAAGGCTACCCAGGCTGGCTCTTCTCCCAAGAGGCGGAGTGGGGATTCGAACTCTCTACCTCTGGCTCTGCAACCAGGTACCCAACTCACTGATCTATCCAGCCCGATGTGTTCATCCATAGCAGCAATCAACTGAGTAATAAGCGGGCTCTTGGCTTCCCTCATCATCATCCCCCAGGGCTCTGAATTCTCGTGGCAAACATAATGAAGAATGGCAGGTTTTTGGAGTAAAAGCATCTACGTAGTCTTATTCGTCTTATTCGACCCTAGGATTTAAAGCAAATTACGGGGCACAAACTTACAGAACTGGCTGCAGATCAGGAGTTCGATTCCCCCGTGATGCCTTCCGAGAGAAGAGCCAGCCTGGGTAGCCCTGGGCAAGCTGCACAGTCCCAGGGCTCCCCCTAGAGGAAGGGAAGGGTAAACCACTTCTGAATATTCTATAACAAAAACCCTATAACAAAAAAGCCAGAATTAACAGCAAAAATGAACTAATCCACATCTGGGCCACCCGTCCCCCCATTTGGGAACCCAGGTGCTGATGTTAACTGGGATTGTACCCCATCAGTCCTAGGTACGTGCAAGATATCCAATGGCCCATCTGGCTTGGAAACGCTCCGAATTGTAGTGCAGAAAGAGAACTTTTTTGAAACTTCTGAATAAACGCGGACTCTGTCTGGCCTTAGCCCCTGCAGGGTTGCATCTTCCCCAGCCCTGGTCTGGAACAAGGTGCAGGATTATATGCCCCAAAAGCATCGGCACCTCTTTGGTGTGGCGTTCGAGCGATCTAAGAATGTCAGGGTGGGTGGACGGCGCACAGCGACTTCCACGGGGCGGCTTTTACGGCTCTGAAAACTTTTCCGCCGTCCTTTTTTCCATCTTCCAGACGACCACCTGGGGCGGATGGACCAGCGGGACACCTGGGACCGCTTCTACACGGCTAAACTGGAAGGATCGGGACCCCCCGGCCATTTCGACTGGTTCTTCGGGTACCGAGAGATCTCGGATCTCCTCCACTCCATCCTTCAGGGCCTCCCTTCCGGACGGGCCGACGTCTTGGACGTGGGCTGCGGCACGTCCTCCTTAGGGTTGAGCCTTTATCGAGAGTCGCCCCGCCAGCTTCACGTCTGCTGCTTGGATTTCTCCCCTCTGGCCCTGGAGGCCGTGGGCTGGCTGCTACGGCAGAGCCCCCCGCCGCGCCACCCTCTTTCCGAGCTGCGGTGCCGCTTGGCCGACGCCACCGACCTGGCGAGCAGCTTCGAGTGGGCGTCGTTCCACCTCGTCCTGGACAAAGAATAATAAATAAATAAAATAAATAGGTTCTGTTCCCTACCCCAGTGCAATTTTTTAAAAAGTGTTGTTCTTGTGCCTGGTGCTGATTGAGGGATCTGTGGATCCCGGTGGAAAAAGGAACAAGTTGATCGCCCACAGGTAAAATCTTTAGTCATTTCAACAAGATACAGTACAGATATTTTCCTCGGATGATATACAGTAAATAGCCAGAGGATTTCTGTATCCCTGGTGTTTAATTGAAATTTCAATGAATGGGAACCGTTTTTCAGGGTTTCCCAGGTAGGGAGAGAGCCCTCAGAAGTGCTTTACCCGTCCCTTCCTCTAGGGGGAGCCCTGGGACTGTGCAGCTTGCCCAAGGCCACCCAGGCTGGCTCTTCTCCCAAAAGGCGGAGTGGGGATTCGAACTCTCAACCTCTGGCTCTGAAACCAGGTACACAACTCACTGATCTATCCAGCCCGCTGTGTGGATCCGTAGCAGCAATCAACTGAGTAATAAGCGGGCTCTTGGCTTCCCTCATCATCATCCCCCAGGGCTCTGAATTCTCGTGGCAAACATAATGAAGAATGGCAGGTTTTTGGAGTAAAAGCATCTACGTAGTAGAGTCTTATTCGACCCTAGGATTTAAAACAAATTACGGGGCACAAACTTACAGAACTGGCTGCAGATCAGGAGTTCGATTCCCCCGCGATGCCTCCCGAAAGAAGAGCCAGCCTGGGTAGCCTTGGGCAAGCTGCACAGTCCCAGGGCTCCCCCTAGAGGAAGGGAAGGGTAAACCACTTCTGAATATTCTATAACACAAA